GTTGATACTTTTATTTGCAGATGATATTGTATTGTTTTCAGATACCATTTCAGGTTTACAAAACCAATTAAATACCCTCAATAAGTATTGTTACAATGTAAATTGACAGTTAATTTAAACAAAACAAAAATAGTGGTATTTAGAAAATATGAAAGTTTGAAAAAACACGAACGATGGACTTTTAATAACCAAAATGTCGAAATAGTAAAACACTATAAATATTTGGGTGTTATGTTTTACTCAAATATGAATATGATAAAAACAGTGAAATACACATGCCAAAAATGTAACTTAGCACTTTATGAAATTTGAAGATCTTTAAATGAACTTGGGTGCTTGTCTTCTGACATATTCTTTAGAATATTTGATGTAAAGATTAAGCCTATTTATTATACGGTGCAGATATTTGGGGCACCAATGCATTTGATCCACTTGAGAAAATTCACAATTATGCATGTAAAAGATTTCTTGGTTTACCGTCACAAACTCCAAATGCTATGGCTATGGGAGAATGTGGTAGATATCCGTTATATGTTGATTCATTTGTGCAATGTATAAAAAATTGGCTTAGATAAATACATATGTCAGGTAATATTGATTAATTAATAAGTATGATTAAACTTAGATTAAGAGACATTTCTTTTCAAGCGTGGCAAGCACAATTAAGAGAAAGCACAAGATTCGATAGTTACAGTTAATACAAATTTTCATTAAATGCTGAACCATATGTGTATTGCAAAAACTATTTAATGCATAGTAGATACTTAGCTCTTTTAAGAACCGGAGGTGCAAACATTAGCATAAATGTTAGAAGATGGAAAAATGTTGAAAAAAGTAAAAGAATCTGTCAGAATTGTAATTTAAATGAGTTAGAGGATGAATTCCACATAATAATGAAATGCCCATGTTTTAATGATTTGAGAAATCTTTTTGTACCAAAGAAATATTTTAGGAAATGCACATCCAAATGATTTGTTAATTTAATGAATGATTATGATCCAGCTATAGTAGAAAACTTGTGAGGAGAGCATGTTATCATTAATTACTGTACACTCTGTTATCATTGAATATATAAGTATGATATACCGCCATCACCTTGATGTATAATTTGTATTTTTGTGTAAACTTTGTATACTTTGTATATTGGCCTGGGGCCTCAAGTACAAATAAAAGATTGATTGGTACAACAGTGTTACATAGAGGATGATTCTACATATTATTTACCAATAGATGATTCAGACAATGATCATGCACAAGACCAAGGAGCGTCCATTCCAATTTGGAATGAACGTTGGATTGCTTTGGAAAGATCGCTGATTCCAACCTTTCCAAAGCTTGGAAGGATCGATCTTTACGGAAAATCCAAAATAGGATTGGCAACATTTCCAAACATATTTCCAACACAGGAAATGTTTGGAATGACTTGGAATGGCTTGGAATGGTTTGGAATTGTTTGGAAGTATGTTTAGAAGGAACAAGTTAAAATATGTTTTATTAGTAATTTGAACAATAAAAAGACTATGAATTATCTATTGAGTTTAAACTATATATAATAAATAATAAACTTATCTCAAACATTCAGTACTTGTCTGTCTAGCGAGGGGCTTTTACAGTCGCATTCTCCCTAAGGTGAGAGAGAGACCCGCACTTGGACTGGACTAATCGGAGATTTAACGTGCGCTTTCCGCATGTAATACATTACATTTAGCGTATATCGCACACGGGGAAGCACTTATACCACATAGAGGGGGGGGGGGGGGGGGGGGGGGGAGCGTAGTGAATAAATCAGAAGTGCAACCCCAAAAAATATAAAAAAGCAGATCTAATCTAATAAAGCTAAGGGGGTTGGAGTTGGCTGGGTGGGACTGGGAAGTTAAAAAGAATGTAATAATATGGAAAGTTTGGGCTTGGGTGGGGTGGGTGGAGGGGGTCAAGCGTGGGAAGGTACGGCGTCGGCTGGCGAGCTGGTGTGGTGATGGAAGCTGGAGCTTACTGTTTTTCCCCAGCCAGGAGCCTCCTGGCTAGGTCAAGCTCTCCTGGAGGGAGAGCTTGGAACAGTGCGGTGGTGAGGCGGGCGGCGGCGTTGGAAACAAAGAGGGAGCTGACTTGGAGGTCACAGTCAACCAGGAAATCTGAGAGATCCTGGTAGCTGTGAATTTCGTGTTCAAACCTCTCTTCTCCCCAATACTGCACCAGCACCATGGGTGGGCGTGGGCGGTTGCTGTGGTAGACCTTGCCGCTTTCGTGCTGGTAGCAGGGGTTAGGGTGGACCTTGTGCTGCTCCAGGATGAGGCTGGCCTGCTGTGCAAGGTGGACACGGACGTCTTCCTCAACAACTGGTTCCTGGACTGGGTCGGTCTGGACTTGGCTGGTGTTGAGGGAGGGGCCTGGTGTTGCGGCGGTCTGAGTTTCCGTGGTCTTGCTGGTAGTTGGAGATGGGAGGGGGGAAGAGTCAGGGGAGAAGATGCTTTTCCTCTTTCTCTTCTTCCTCCCGTGTCCTGTCCCTTCAGGCGTGCGAAAGGGCTCCTCCCCTCTGGATTCGAGGGGAGCGAGTTCCAATGCTGCTGTTGGGGGCGAAGGGGTGGTGGGTGGCGAAGGCTCTCCTGGATCTCCATGGCGGCGACTGGTGGAGCCTTCTTCACTTTGGGCGGCCTGGCCTTCCACAAGACCAAGGAGCGTCCATTCCAATTTTGAATGAACGTTGGATTGCTTTGGAAAGATCGCTCATTCCAACCTTTCCAAAGCTTGGAAGGATCGATCTTTACGGAAAATCCAAAATTGGATTGGCAAAATTTCCAAACATATTTCCAACACAGGAAATGTTTGGAATGACTTGGAATTGTTTGGAATTGTTTGGAAGTATGTTTAGAAGGAACAAGTTAAAATATGTTTTATTAGTAATTTGAACAATAAAAAGACTATGAATTATCTATTGAGTTTAAACTATATATAATTAATAATAAACTTATCTCAAACATTCACTACTTGTCTGTCTAGCGAGGGGCTTTTACAGTCGCATTCTCCCTAAGGTGAGAGAGAGACCCGCACTTGACTCGACAAGACAATAATAGGTCTCAAGATTAAGTTTTCGGCTGGATGGCAGCTGCCATTTAATTATAAAACAGACAGTCGTCTAGACGGCTCACATGTAAGTGCGCCGACATGTGCCTAAGATCATAAAATGGACAATCTTTGGTAACATCTAATTTATTGTTGTCTCACGCCAGAGCTTTGAATAATTCTGTTCATTGAACAATTGGAATTCAGGAAGTTATCAATAATTGTTTTACTTAACATAAGATAAGATAAGTTGTTTACAACATAATATTATCATGTCAGGACGTACTACAGTCAAAACCATATATCTTAAAATCAATTTAATGACAGACTATGATTTCCAAGTCCCGATTATCAAATCAATGAGGTATCAGTTTCACAACATGTGCACATACAGCCTATGCTTATATATATATTTTTCATAACTATTCTCCAGTTAAAGTCCTATCCTCTTATCAAATAATAATCTGTGAGAGTGATCATCATTAACGAAACTCATTCTCATCAAAGAATACAGAACAAATGAAGAATCAGATGCATACATTTATTGCCATGCTTCATTCATCACGAAGCAGATTTACATACATTTTCGAATAGCACTTAAACTTTTACCATTGTCCATATTGACATAATAATATATAAATATATACAAAACAGGATATGCATTTAATAAATATTTACCATAATATGGATTTCCGAATATATAAACGATTTCAACGTTGATATTTCAGACAAAAACAAAGTCTCCTGACTTTTAACGTTCAGGAAAAAAGGGTTTGCTTTCACAAATGAACATTTTCTATCACCAATTGACAATCAAATCAAGCCAAAAACACGAAAAATACATATATATGGTTAGCGACCGTCATTATACAGCGAGGGGGAAAATTCGTCTGCTCTAACTGCCTTCACAAAAACATTCCAGCCCTTAATTACCAAGGCAGCTGGGCATTGCCTAAAAGTCGGGCCGGGCCGGGACAAGACGGGCCAAAGTGTTATTGGCTAATTACTTCATTATCGGCGATCATACCTACATATTATTGATGCAACATACACACATGACATTACTGAACAATCACCAACCAAAAACGTGCAACATAATTAGGTATTTCGGAGTAAATCGCTTGAAAACCAGAAAGTGGAGCCGTGTGTAAGCGGCGCTGACCTAGGTAACATGTAAAAGAGCAATCGTTAAACGAAATAAGATTTTTAACGTAACAAATACTTCTAGCTATCGCGATACAAATTTCCATCTGTCGGCATAGCGTTTATATTTATAGGATAGTACTATATATCTATGTAAATACCATTTAATAATGTCACTGTTCATCGTGTATAAAGCAGACACGTTGGTTAAAGTAGACCTCTTCTCCCTATACTCTCAACAGTCTCACAAGTGTTCGGTCCGACTTGGCCAGGGCTGTCAAAATCAACTTAAATCTCACAGATGTAACATGAAATGGATTCACACCTATCGATTAGTATTATATCTACCTAAAAATCTTTTTTATAGTGTCTCAGATCGCGGTTTTTAAAGAAAACAAGGTGCTCAAAGTGAAGCCCTTTTCCCTCTACATTCTCAACATAGTCTCTTTCAGAAGTGTTTGGCTTGTGCTCGGTCCGACTTGGCCCGGGCTGTCGAAATCAACTTAAAACACACAGATACATCATCAAATGTATTTACATCTATAGATCAGTGTTATATCTACCAATATCCCTTGCCACGGGATGATGGTATACCACACACATGAAGTTAAGGAACACTAAACAAAGACAAATTAAGAAGAGTAATATGAAAGAATCGGGCTCTTTAACTTTGTTTGAACAGTATATATAAAACATTCTCTCTACGATGTGTACGCAGATATATTTAAAGTCTTTTGACTAATTATCCAGGTTAAGCGGTTAAGTGTGTATGTACATGATTTACATGTTGCAGTTGGACAGACTGGTAGCTAACTCGTTTTGGAAGAATCCTAAAAGATCAACGAGGAAATTGTGGTGAGAAATGTCATGCTTACATGTATAGATTCCAAATACATACAAAAACATTATGTTAAACATCACAATATAATAAAACAACAGAGCACAAAAAATATCAGGAGGTTAAGAGAACAGAAGCAAGTACACAATGTCAACTTATTCGTACTAATGAAACCATTTGATTGTAAGATGGAGACACAACCATAATCATATATTATAAATGCAGCTGGTTCGCTGGAGAAATGTCAAGAGATGAGGCAGAAGGAAAGTTGGATGGGAAAGTACCAGGAACATTCATGATCAGGTACTTCAAAAACAGTATTTTTTCAAAGCAGCATTGTTAAACATGTTGTAAATGTCACGTACGAAAGGAAGCACCTCAACATTTGTCTGAACGACCTGTTTGCATGTATGTAACTGCGCTTTCATTCACAGTGTATTTGCAAACAGTTCAAATGACAGAATATGGCCGACCATCAAATCTTTGATCATCATGTTTACAGCAGATGTTTACCTTTTATTTCACAGAATGAGCGCGACTCATAGGGAAGAAGGAAGTTTTGTGCTGTCACTGGTCATGGCTGATGAAACCATCGAACATTTCCTCATCGAGGTCAGACTGGTTGGCGTGTTCATAACATCCTCGTATAATATCCTCTAGTAGTTGAAGGTCGTTCTGACATGACCTACAATAGGATGTTCTATGGTCATTGTATAGTGGTAGCGAGCACTAGGATCTGTTTGTAATGCGATTGTACTACACGATCCTTTTCATCACCTAATACGTTTTCGGTTTCGTTGATTAGGACCTTTATTCTTACACAGAAATCACCAAGGGTCTCTTCGACTGTTTGTATACGCCCAGAACGAAATTGTTACGAAAAAGTACCTATACCGTTTTGTATTTAAATTGTTGCAATGCCGAATTACCTGTTTTCAGTTTTGCGCGTGTCATTGTGTGTGCGCGAAAAGCTTAACATTTGAAACCTCTTACTTACGCCGTTCGTTCCAAAGACACTTTCGGGGCATCCAAGACTCATTAACTCCCGCAAATCATGTTTATCACCGTATTGTAATCACATTGTATTTACACCGTTCATGTTTTTTGCAGGGACATCCATCACAAGCAGTACAATCCAATCCTTTCAGTCTGTGTTTGACGTTCCAAGGTCACACATTTTCTGGTTTACCAGATTTAGTGAACGAATACCTTGTACGTACAGATATATCGGATGGTGACCCCGACAATGGGACAAGGTGTCAGAGAGTGTGCTCGGACCTTCCGTACAACGGGATTCTGTCCAGTTACAAGAAATAACTTAGTCAGACAGTGGTATCAGCGCATGATCCCAGTCAGATCTAAACACAGGAGCATGCCTGGTCGTGATATGTTTTCTACATGCATAGGCGTTACCTGACATGCATTACAATATGTACATTTTACTGTATGTTATGCATAGATTAAGCAGCTCCTTGTAAATGGGGAAGAGATTGCTATATTGAATTCCAAGCTAGAGACATGATATTTATTGTTTTTATGCTGGACTGGCCTTTGGAATGCTCTTGAAACACAATTAACATTGGAGGTTGTGTACACAGTAGTTGGACGCAATTTGGTAATGTGCCCCTAAGGGTAATTCTTAAGGTAATTAATTCTTTGTGTACTGAAGCAACCCCTGTGTTTATATGACATGTTTGTAAGAACAAATGCAACTGGAAATAATACAATCAAGTGAAAATGATGTCAATGTCTTATTATACATGCATGAGACTTTCTGTTTTTCTGTTGTCTTGCATTGCGCACGTGTTTTCCAGAACCGGGAGTAATGTCATTAAACGGAAGTGCATATTTAGGGTAGCTAGAGGCAGAGAATTAGTTGTACTGCATTTGATAGAATGAGGGATCAGGATGAAAGTAGATAAATATTGGTGGGGTTAGCTGTCACCTGATTTGGTGAATTCCAAGTGGGTTTAGGGATGCTTCGGAATTTGCATATGATACAAACACCTTTCCAATTACTTATTGTGTCTCGCGTTTTTCATATTTCGTCGAAGTTGTATAGTTAATACACGACCAAATCGTGAAAAATTAGTATTCTTTATGTTACCAATATAGATATTATTAACTATTACAGGCGACATCCATTGCATGTATGCTGTCTAATTACTAATCTTTGATACATAAATTAACCGTCGCAACCTGATCATGTTTTTTGTTGAACACCAAGGTTGCCCCCGCACATAATATACGTACTTGAAACTCATATGGAAGGCATCGCTCATATATTGAACGCCCAGTATACTTTCATTAGCCGACACATATTATGATTCATAATACCAGTACTTTATCTACAGCCTCACTGCACAAGGCAGAGTGCACGGGTGGCAAAGTATTCTAAGGCGCAGCAATTATCTGTGCAGAGTTAAGTCCCTTGGGCCCGCACGGCTTATATCCCAATCCCGGTGAGTGAGTGAGTTGGATTTAACGGGGCTGAATGCGGGAGGAAAGTCTGAAACAATGCAAAATGAAATGATATCACTGCCTGTCACCTTAATGTAAAACCCGGAGTGATGCAGGTCTCAGACGTTTACCACTTTGGTGAAACCCACGAGCAGGGGTATGGTGCTGACAAACCTAGAAACATAATCGGGGTGAACCCCGAATCATAGGTTTCTAGCCTGCCCAAGGGACGCAACTCTGAACAGCGAATCGCGGCGCGTAAGACGACTGGGCCACCCGTGCCCCCACACTGTAAAGTGGTAAATAGACTTAGGGATGGCCTAAATGACGAGTCGACATAAAATATTCCATCATTCTCTTTCTGACATATGGTGGTTAATTTTAAAGTGATACATTTTATCAGTTATTGTATCACATTTTTAATTGTGCCACCCAAATGGAAGAAATAGTTGACCACCAAACACGATACGCCTTGTGGAAGGGTGAGTGAGTGGCCATGACAAAGTGAACATGTAGTACATTGTTTGAGTAGTTCATTGCGAGTGTATTTGGTCTTTTGAGTCCCATTGTAAAGTAGTCACAGACAGTTGAACATGATAGGGGTCCAGATGGACACAGAAATGGAATAGAACGAGCAGCGAGCAGTCATCACTGCCACGGAGCTCTGCTCCAGTGATGAAGAGTGTCATTAAACAAGATAAAGTAATAATGAAAAGGTGGTAATACGTTCACAGGTTTATTTATAACAACTAATTGTACTGATAGATGACAATAAGGGGTCAAATAAACCCAATCTGCGCTGACAAGGATAACTGATTAATTACATCGGAGCAAATACACAAGCGGCTTAGCTAAGCAAATGCATTACAATAATACAATGAAAGTAGCTAAAACAACACTTTGACAAGATACAGACAAGATGCATCGGCTGCGGCGGTTAACACCAGAGATAATTAAATCAACACTCGTATGGGTGAATAACTTCGGCTGGGTTAAATAACGTAAAAAAAACCCACAGGGGCCCAATCCCTAAAATATGACACTTGGACTATAAAATAGAAGAGAACGTCTGAATATCAAACTAGTCTAATTGATTAAAGATTCAGTCACTTTGACTGAGCAAGGAAATACTAAAATTCCCAAAACGCTAGACTATCACAGGAAGGTTGGTTATCCATGGATTACTAGATACACTAAGTATTGGAAACCCTGTTTACTAAGTAGCTAGAAATACAACCAGAGTAACTCAATCATAGATGAAACGTGTCCCGTAATCACTTACTAACAAAACATGAATTTCGAAGAGATCACCCAGTAACAAGACAATTGTATACGATCTGACGCCGCCTGGGGGGCAAGACACTAGGTTGAGAAAAAGTAGATATATATACAGCGCGCGGACCTCAGAGAGGTCTGCCTGGGAATAGGATAGTCTGGGGCGGTTAGCCCAAGTGTGCTTCTAAACATAGGGAAAACACGGATATCAAACTAACTACGACATCCATAATGAAGATATAAGTATCAAAATAACGTGCTGAACATAAGCTATTCAACGGTATCACTAACGATTTACAACAAGCTATGTACAATTATTGAGAAGGCAAAAATGATCCTAAATACATGAGAAATACCAACCCCATTATTTAAAATAAAATGACGACACAAGAATAAAATAACCACTTTTTACCTTGTAAATGACATCAATAATAAAGATGTAAGTATCAAAATAAAGCACTAAAGTCTCTGAGCTCCTGGCGCATGAGTGGAAGTCCCAGAACGATGTCTGAATAGTCATTCCCAGGTGCTACTTTCTGTCATACAGACTTTGGAGAATTTCCGTTCAAGGTGCAATTTCCCTTTCCCAACAACCAACCCCTTTATTTTACATGAAATGACCATACAATTATAACATAGTGATTCTTAACTTGTAAATGACACCATAACATTATATAAAAAGGTCTTTCCAACAGGTGAAATATACCACAACTGTACAAAACTCCTTCTCATAACTCGACCCGTGAAAATTCAGGGGTAGTATAGGTCTTCATAAAACCCATGCTTGCCGTAAAAGGCAGCTATGCTTGTCGTACGAAGCGACTAACCGGATCGGGTGGTCAAGCTCGCTGACTTGGTTGATGCATGTCTTCGATCCCAATTGCGTGGATCTATGCTAATGATATCAATCACTGGAATGTCTGGTCCAGACTCGATTGTTTACTGTCCGCAGTCATATAGCTGGAATATTGCTGAGTGCAGCGTTAAACAACAAACAAACAAATCTTATTATAACTCTGACACCCACATATTTCCAGTAAAACGTCATGAGCAAATTTTATCTCTTCATTCTACAATGTGCACCTCCTTGATAGCATAAAAAACAACGCTTGCTAATCAAAAGTGCATTCGTTTCAAAAGACAAAATGTATTATTGTTTGACAGAGGATAACATGATGTTAAAGAACAATAAACACGTAAAACATTCCAAACTTCTCCGCCTCAAAACAACAGGACACTCCTTCAAACATAATGGAGTTTCGTGCGTGGCAAGACATTGCAATGCATTGTTTGATAGGCATTACTTAGAAGTTGGTGGATGACAAAGTAGACACATTTTATCGATAACACTTCTTTAATTACTGTAAAGGCGACATTTCGGTATAGATCCTTATACAAGGTAGGTAGAGGATTAACAGTAACACCTATTGCATACAAGAGGGATAAACATAAGTAGGTTAAGTAATGACAACAGAAGGGTAATACTGTAACAACATGATGGATAGAGAACACATGAGGTGGAAGCAAATAAGACAGGAAGCCAATTATACAGGATAAGTATACATAGACGGAGTGGTTATTGCTTTATGAGTTTATAGTAGAGTATGGGATGAAATAGCCATGATCCCTGTTGATTGATTGACAACATCTTAACAAACAACACCCCCGAGTACAGTTCACTAGCAAAATAGAAAAGAAGAACCAACTACTCTTCTTAGATGTCCTTGTCTCCAGAGCCCCAACAACAGAATCCAAACCAGTGTATTAAAGAAGGTGTGATCCATGAAATGTGGCTACTTTGTCAAGACATTAAAATGACATGTCAAAAACACTATGATATACTGACTACTGGTTTACACACTGTATAAGAATAACAACTAATTGTACTAATAGATGACAATAAGGGGTCAAATAAACCCAATCTGCGCTGACAAGGATAACTGATTAATTTCATCGGAGCAAATACACAAGCGGCTTATATTAGCTAAGCAAATGTATCACAGTAATATAATGAAAGTAGCTAAAACAACACTTTGACAGATACAGACAAGATGCATCGGCTGCGGCGGTTAACACCAGAGATAATTAAATCAACACTCGTATGGGGATCTAAACAAACTACTCCAAATAAGCGATAAATCTACTATATTCCTAGGAGACTTTAACGCTCACCATCCTACATGGAGCATAGATGATAAAATAGATAATCATGGCAAATTAATCTCCGAATGGATAGAAACAAACGACCTAGTACTCCTTAATAGCAACCAACCCACGAGGTACGATAAGATAAACCAAAAAATGTCGGCTATCGACTTAACCATATGCACCTCAGATCTAGCCCAAAGTACTCAATGGGAAGTGCACGACGTCCGCTAGGTAGTGACCACTTCCCAATAAACATAACCATAGGAAATACAAACGTACCAATCTAAACAGAAAACCAAGAACCAAAATTCCATTACAATAAAGCTAACTGGGACCAATTCCAAGATATCTGCAACGAAGCTAACTTAAACGAAAAAGAAAATAATGATCCAGAAACCTATTGTAAAAACCTAACAGACTATATAATAAACGCAGCCAAAACCTCCATCCCCTTCAAAACATCTAAGACAGGCAAACCGACGGTACCATGGTGGAATGAGGAAATAGAACAGACTAGACGAAAACGTAAATCAGCCTTCAATAAAGCAAAACGCGACTACAAATATTTAAACATAGCCCACGAACTAAACCACCAGGTTCAAAAACTAGTCCAAATAGCCAAAAGTAGAGACTGGAAAAAATTCTGCGAAGGTATAAATAACCGTACAGATGCCAGAATGGTCTGGCGCAAAATCCACGCCATCAGAGGCTTAAAACGACATAAAAAAAACCCTAACATTGACAACTCAACCAACCCCGCCTAAAAGGCAAATAATCTCGCCAACCACTTTTCGGCCGTTAGCAGTAACACCAACTTCAGTAAAAAATTCCAAGATAAACTTAAAACAGAAAACAAACCCACAAAAGAACCAAACAAT